AGGAACAGACAGGAACAGACATGAACAGGACACCTTGCAAACGTCAAACAGTCGAACAGTCATTCAATCTTAAGTTAAGTATAGATCTTGCAATATAATAATTACTGACGAGGTGTTTTTTTTTATAGCAATGGAGGATCAATGAGGTTACTAAGGGGTTAAGCTTCGATCAATATACTATATAATAAAAGATGCCCCAACTCCGCACCGAACGTGTGTTTCTTCTGCTTCCTTTTTCTGTGTGTGTTTCTGTATTTTTTTCTTTTCTGTTTCTTTTTTTGTTTTCGGGGTTTTGAAAAACTAAGCCAGCAGTAACACGAATCTCCAGATCGAGCGATCTCCGATCTGGTATGGGAATGGAATATCTCACCGTCACTCTTCGCGCTCGCCTTGCTGCTCTCTCTCTCTTTTTTTGAGTCTTCTTCCAGGCATGCGCGTGTGTGCGTTGTCGCTGGAATTCTTGGAAATTTCTAATGAACACAAACCCAAAAAGGAGCGCACAAAAATTTGGTAGAACAAAACGAAAGAAAAAAACAACAATTCAAATCAGCAAGAATGCGTTGCAAGAGAGCGAGAACGGTATGCTGGCAATACTTTTTGGTCATTAGAAGAGCTTTGGCACTATCGACATTTGCCCATCGATTAAAATGCCTATCGAAATTGAGGCAAAGTGTAAAATTCATAGAAATATTTTAGAATTCATAGTAATGAAACCTGTTGTCAAGAATTATTAAAATCTTTAAATTAATATTAATAACTTGTAATTGAAAACGAAAAGTAAAAAGTTAGTTTTAAAATACAATTGGTTAAAGCATCATCTTGAAATTAGGGCAGGCCCAGGACTGTCTCTTTTCGATTGTTTCCTTTTTTTTTAACTGACAAATACACATCACAAAACTCCCACACATACACAGAGAATGGTTACCTGTCTACCTGGCAGAGTTTCGTACTAACAAAAAAAAAAGAAAACACAAAATTTGCATCCTGTTTGCCGGACAGAATCGGTGTCCTTCTGCTCTTCCGCTGTGCAACAAGCTTTAAATTCAACTTCCAGCAAAATCGCATTTTTCCAGCAGCGGCAAATTTTGGCGGGCCACGCCTTGCCTCCAACTCAATATGGGCCAGAAAGCGTATTTGTTTTCTTTTGGACAAATGTAGGTAAAGGTAAAGTGTCTCGAGACCCTGTACCGCCCCCGCCATGCTCATGGTACTTGATTTCATTCAACGTTTGATTCTACAGATACACCGCAAAAAATCCTCTTTTTTAAGGATTAATTTATATGGAAATTATTATAAATATGTTAGCTTATAGAGTTTATCATATTACGGAACTTTACATAAGAATTTAGACAGTAATTATTCAAAGATACTCGTAAAGCATAAGAAGACTTAAATAAAAGTATCTTTTTTATAGTCCCATTATTTTATACACATTTTTATTAAGAATATTGGCAATTTCTTTTGCTGACTTTGTGCTAAGTGTACAATCACTGCCATCTCCATCATGAAGAACGAGTTTTGGGCATTGTGACGAGCAGACAAAGGCGGGGGCGATGGTTTAGGATTGGATAGGATTGCTTTTTGGTATGGTTTGGCATGGAATGAATGGAGCGATAAACCAAGGTCAGGCCCCGAGATCCTAAGAGAAATAGCAGCTGCCTTGCTGAGCAGCATGAGCAGCTTCTGTCTAGATCGCATCTAAGCTACCCCCCCCCCCCCAAAAGAAGGGCACTCTTTGCCCTACTAATTTGACTGTCAATCAAAAAGGCGAGCAAAGCTGAAGCAGAAGCTGAAACAGGAGCAGGCGTATATAAGCAGGAGCAGCAGGAGCAGGAGCAGGAGCAATGCAGTAGCAGTGGCTCAGCCTCCCTTTCCAGTTGATAATCGATGGGAATCAAATTTGCTGCTGGCTTCCAGAGAGAAGGAAGCTACCAACCAGCTAACCAGCTAACCAGCTAACCAGCTAACCGGCTAAGTGGCAAGCATCGTCACACAAAAGATACAGATACACGGATACAGATACATGGAGAATGCCACAAAGAAGGGTTGCGATTAGAAGAGGCAGCAAAGCGGCAAAAGGACAAATTGCTGGGCCAGCAGGAACCTCCCCATCCGCCGTCTGCAAGTGAACCGACATTAGGAGGCAAGGCGAAAACCGAAGAAGGATGCCGTCGTTGTATAATTAAAATTTGTTTGAGCGCAATCGCAAGTAAAGAGAGCGACGAGGAGTTGGAAATATGAGAAACGTGTTTTTTTTGGCGACTAGAAAATGAACAAACAGAATGGATGTACAGAAACAAAAAAATTTGTTCGAAACGAACACACAAAACAAACAAAAAAACACAAGCACACACACACAAAAAAAAAAACAAAGAAGCTGGCAGGAAAGCCCCTAAACTCTGCCAAAATCATATTTCCAACCGGCAAAGTCTACTGAGAAACCTGATCATGAGATCACCAACACACACACAACACACAGGAGAACAGGGATTCCAGAGATGCGATCTCATCTCGATGGAGTTCTGGGTCAAACTCAGCCTCAGCCTCAACCTCAACCCTTCTTTCTAAGCAAAAACCCAAAAGCAAAGGCAATGGCAAAGGCAAAGGCAAAACCAAGTCCAACTCCTCCTCGAGCTTCAAAAAATTCAAAAACTCAAAATTCTAGCAAAGGCAAACGGATGCCTCCTGTGGCAGCGGCATGTTTCCTTTGGAGGATTAAACCAAATGCTACAGAAAAAGATTTCGTTTCGTTTTCATCTTCTTGGCTGTGAGATACTTTTCTGTGAGATACCTTTGCTGCTATACTTTTTTGTCCAGCTTTTTGTTATTATTTTTTTGTACTGCCGCTTTGGCTTTGTTTACTTTGCATTCTGGCAGGAAATTAGTTGGGATTCCTGCGAATGCTTCGGCTTCGGCTTTCTGGCTTCGTTTGCCTACCGGCTTAGCCGTTGTTGCAACAAGCGGCTTAACACGCAACAAGCTGTGCCACAGCGGGGAGTTGCAGGAGAGTGTGGAATTTGCCGAGTGCCACGAAGGATTTGAAAATGTCAGGATGCCACGACGACAACGATAACAGCAAGGTTGTGGGCGAGAATCCGATTTCGAGTGGCACCTTTGCAGCAATCTCAGCAATCCCAACAAATCCACTTTATAGCGACAACAAGAAATGCCAAAGGATATCGTTTTAGTTTAGTTTTTTCCTTGGAAAATATCCTTGGAAATATTTTAAGGTGCATTTGAATGAAGCGAAGAAGGGGTTGGAATATCCTTTGAAGAGCTTTTACTCATTTTCATCTAAAACAAATTCTATTTAAAGTAGGGAACATTTAATACAGTCCATTTATCTTAATGGCAAGCCTTTTAGAGGGTCACTTTATATTTAAGATACATTCAAATCAAATACGTATCTTCTTTCTTCTATTCTCCTTAAACCCACCCTCCTTAAAAGCACTCAAGGCGTTATTCATCTTTCTATTTAACGATTACTTCAGTACCTCAGAGAAGACTCTAATACTGCTAAAGTCCTTTACTTGAAACTGAGAGCGAACTATTTTGTACTTTTTACCAGATATCATCTTTTAGATACATATCTTATACATATATCCTTCTCTTTTATATAGCATTATAATCCTTTTAGGCCTGGTAGCAACACAGCTTCTGGCCCAGATTCCCTTTTATTGAACAGAGACAAAAAAAAAGCTTTAATCTGTTTAGGTGCAACACAAACATTATCTTTAACTGAGTTGGGTTCTAAGCTTCGATCTGTCCATCATTGATCCCTCAAACGCGTCTTGAGGATGCTAAGTGAGTTCCTTCTTGGCAGCGTGCGGCAAGTATATCAATTTTGTCAGATCAGGGGTTGGCCGGTAGAACCTTCATTCTAAAAATCAGGATCGGAAGGATCCTTGCCTTAGGGGCAAGACAGGTAGTGGCTGCCTTCCTGGTTCCCTGGAGTCCCTGCCTTCCCTCTTCCCTTTTTTTGGTCTTTTTATGTGACAATGATGATGGTTTCGCCTACCCAAAGCTTGTTCTAGGCCGCTCAGTGTTTACTTACACCACTTGAGCTTGGCTCGAGGGGGGAAAAATCTTGACGAGGGTCGGTGAAAGGATCGGATCCTCTTTGCCCTGAGAGCCTTTTTTTTTAATATATATATATATATATTTCTATATTCTACCTTACTTTGCCCAATGCCTGAGCCTGTGGCTGTCTCCCGGTGATATGCCCAATTTATCACAGGAAATTAGCTGCTATTTAGCAGCGTTGTATGTCCAAAAAGGGGGGTGTCAGGGTGTCAGGGGCGTTAGGGTGTTGGGTGTTGGTTGGGTGCTTGCCTGATGGCCTGATGGGTGTTGGGTGGCACCGTGTGAGGGGCAAACTTCATGTTATTTGGCGTGATAATTTGTGCAATTGTGGATTGGGCAAAAAAAAAAAAAAAGAAAAAACGGAGGAGCAAAGCATGAATGTCTCTGGTTTCTTGCAGGGTTCCTCCGGGTTTCCCATTACTTATGAGAGCCTTAACTTCTTTTTCCCCTTATTTTCAATATATATGAATATTTTCCTACTTATTTTTCGTTGAGAACCCTAGAGGGGCGCATCGAATCGCCAACCTTTTTGGCGCCATTTTGGCCAGGCAACTGAGAAGTATCTGGAGGGGTGAGAGCATCGCTCATCGCTCAACGAGCATCGAGAGTATCTCATTTCCAAGTGGACAAGATAAAATATGGGTGGATATACATACATATATATATATATTATATGGTGGGTGGTGGTTGGTGGGTGTGTGGCTAGCTGAAAACCCGCACTAAGAAGCTACAAAGCATCACACAACAAACTACAAAAGCTACGGATTACATCAAGATCAATGAAAGAATGGAGGAGTGTTTTTTTGTGGATGGGTTGTTTCTTGGATAGAGAAAAAAGGCCTGATTCGATCATTATTTTCATCGCAGGATATTATAGGTATGTATATATAAAGTAGAGAATGATCTTAATTACATACCTTGAGGTGCCAGCACCTTCCAACTGCTGTCGATCCAAAGGCGGATCGAAGATCTGTTCGCGATCCTCCTTCGATAGTTCCAGGTCGGCGAATTGGTCCAGTTCGGATGCCATTGTTCTCGGTTTTTGTTTTCTTTTTTTTGTAATTTATATATTTGATATATATATATTTATGTGCTGCTTTATGTGTTACGCGAGTCGGTTATATATATTATATATATATATACGGCTAAATATATCGAAATACAGAGCAGAAACCGAAAACTGTTGCGGAAAGAACACTTTAGAATTTCAATTTGGCGATTTGGAAACGCGAATCCGAGGTGAAAATCGGAAATCGGTGGTTTATATATAACTTTTGATGCCTTTTATTTTTTTGTTTGTAGCTTGTCTTCGTTTTACTCCTGATTTAACTCTTTTTTTCTTATTTTTGTTGCTTTCTTTTGCTTTTACTTTTCGTTTTGTTTGGTTTTCTTATTTTGTGCTGGTTACGTGTTACGTGTGGAATGATGACTTTTTGAATTTTGCGCGCTCAATTACTTTATTAGCTCATGTCCTTGACTGATTTCACGTTGGGATTTGATTTCGTTTTTCTTTAATATTTATTTTTTAATATTTATTTTGTAAGAATTTTTGCTGGATCGAAACTTTTAGCTTAAGTCTGCTTCTGCTACTGAGGCCGGGGCAAAAAAAAACGTTTAGCGAGCGATGATGGTTGTTAAATTTTTATTGGTGTCGCGTTAGCATTTCTTATTTTTTGACTTCTGTCTTCTCGAAAAAAAAAACTGTTTCTTCCTGTTGTCTTAAGTTAAGCGCTTTAATTTCGAAACTTTTAATTGGATGGGTTCTTTTTTTGTTGTCCTTGTTACTTTAGTTTTTTGTTTGTTTGTTTTTGGTGTCAATTGGGCCAAAAAAAGAGTTATCTGTGAAAGACAAGGTGGAAAAAAGAGCAATTAGTTTTGTGGCATGGATTTTGCGGTTTTTTTTCGGTTTATCGAACTGAGGCGAGTGCAATCCCACCCACCCACACCCATGCAAGCGTTAACATTAACTTTAACATTAACATTAACAGCTGTTGCAGCTGCGATCGACACGCCGCGCCAGCCGGCCGGCCGGCTTTCTTTTTCGGCTGAGCTCAGAGAGAGTGTGAGTGAGTGAGTGACTGAGTGGGACGATGTGGGAGAGCGGTGGAGCAGCGACGCCGGCGTCGACGCGTGAGAGCGGGTGGCGGTGGAGGCATTAGATGCGTGAGCGAGAGCGCTGACGAGAGCGAGGGCCTCATTCGAGTTGACTTTGATCTTGGCATATGTGTGTGAGTGTGCGTGCGTGTATGTGTGTGCATTGTTGTTGGTGGCATTTTTATTTTTTGTTGTTTTGTGTTGCTTTTGTTGTTTTCTTTTCTGGTTTATTTTTTTGTGGTGAATAAGTAGGCGAAAGAAGAATAAAAAAAATTAATTTCGCATATGGCCCAAAATTGGGGAAATTTTTCGGCCTCACATTTGTGTTTTGTTGTCTTTTGGCTTACTTTTCTAATGCTTGTACGTCGTGTTGTTGTTGTTGTTATTTTGGTGTCGTGTATTTGTTTGTTTGTCAATTTACTTATTGTGTTGCCCGCTTTTTCTTGCAGTGGAGTGTTGAAGCTTTGCAGATGATGTCAGAGTTGCCTTTTCGAAAAACAAAAAAAAAAATATAAAAAACAACATATATTTTATATGCGCCTTTCTTGTTATTTGTTCTCCTTTTTTTATTCACGAGTTCGCGTCGTTTTTTAGCATTACATTTGTTTTCTTATATTTGCTTTGGCAACACAAAAAAAAGTGACAAAAAAACTGAAGCTGAGTTATGATTTTGTTGCACAAACACATACATACACACACACACACCCGCACACACAGAGCCAGAGGCAAGGCAAGAACATAGAAAGAAAGGCCAACGAATTAAACGAAAGTGGTACAAAAAAAAACACACAAATATGCCACGAAAAAAAGTAGAAGCAGCAACAAAAAACCACACGCAACTTCCCTTTCCCCCTTCACACGCGCTCTATCTTCCTCTCTCGCACGCACTCTCCCGCGGATGATAGTTGTACGGTGGATCCGTTATCCGTATTTGTGGTCCGCTAACGTATCCGTAATCTGTCTTATCCGTGTTGTATCCGTGGCGCGAAAAAAAACGGAACCCGCAAACGAGTAAGAGAAAAACAAAGACAAAAAAAAACCGAAAAGTGTAACACCAAAAAAAAAAATTTGATTCAAGGCTGCGGTGCTGCTGCTGCTTCTTCTCCTTTGTCGACTTGCTTTTCTTTTTCTTGTTACTGATGTTTTGCGTTTGGCTATTTCTCGTGTGTGTTTCTTTTTTCGCTTGCTGTTTTTGGTTATTCGGTATTTTTTTGTGTGTTGGGATTTGTATAATTTGTTTTATTTGGGGCAGCGGCGGCGACTCGCGATGCTACGTTGCTTACAGTTGGGAGCGTTTTCAGACACTGAACTGCCGTCCTAGCGAGCGGCGGTGGCAGGCAGAGCCGCAGAGCAGCAGCACCAGCGGCGGCGGTAGTGGCAGCGACTGCGACTGCGACGTCGCAGTTCCACTCGAAAATTGCCGAAATTCCAATGCGCGTAGGAACACAGACACAACACACACTCACACATACACAGATGCCACCTCACACAGTTTGTTCGCTGCTTGGAGAAGGCGAAGAAGGAGAAGCACAAGGCAAAGACCAAACCGAGAAACCCTGTGCACTGGTGTGTGTGCTTATCTGCGGATTGCCGAAAATTTGTCGGTGAGTGAATCCGCCTTGCCTTTTGAGTGAGAGTGCTGCCCAACGAGTGCGAGTTAGGTTGGAGTGGCTTTCGGTTTTCGGCACTTTTTTCTCTCACTCTCTGTCTCTATCAAATATTTTTTGGCGCTTTTGTTGAGTGGCGCGGAAATTGATAAAAGCGGCAATTAAAACAATACGACTCAGATGAGAATCTAGAAAAAAATGGAGGCCTAGTTTGAGTCCGTGATGAGCGTAAATCAAAGTATTATTCAAAATTAATAGTTTCTTTTGCTAAAATTGATGGGAAAACCTAAAAAATACTTTTTACATGAAATATTTAATTTATGGGGTCTTACAATTTTGGAAATATATTAATGGAGGTTTTATTTTACTGGGGATACACATAAAATAAAGAAAATCATGTGTGTCTAAATATTAAAAAGATTTCTAAAATCGATCATAATTAAGCTAAATATTTTCATATATTTATATGATCATTATTGCAACAAATCAATGTTTAAATAACTCATAACTCAGCCAAAAAAGCATTTATTTTGATTCGGAAAGCTTTTCTATGTTAGTTTTTATTACGTTAACAAATCTGCTTACTAAATTTAGCATTAAAATTTATTTTAATTTTTGCAATTTTTTTTTGCCAATTTTTAGGATGTAACTCCTTATAAAATTTTGAAAAAATTCAAAAACTTTTTTTTCTCTCAGACATGGCTTAATCGACTCGACTGTTGATGCTGATCAAGAATATATATGATTTATAGGGTCGGAAATGACTCCTTCACAGCGTTACATGCTTCTAACTAAATTTATAATACCCTGCAAGGGTATAAAGCCTATAAAGTCCATTAGGAATCTATAAATATAACTATCACTAGGCTCTTATCACATCGTCAAGTTTTGCACTCAAAGTTCGAGTTATGGAAGTGGGACTCTGTGTGTTGACCAGTTGTTTCCAGACTCCACTCCAAAATCGCACTCAAAAAAGCGGCGCAGAAAAGACGCGCGCGTGTATTCTCCCGCTCCTTGCGGAGTGCCCCCGCCCTGAGTGCGTGGGAACGAGAGGGACGATGCCCAGGACTGCTGCGCCACTCTTCCTCTCTTTGTCTACTCTATCGCACTCCCCTTCACACCCTCTCTCACTCTATTTATCTCTCTCTGTCACTCTGTCTCTGTTGCTTGGCCACATCTTGCGGCTGCCGTCGACGTTGGCGCTGGCGTTGGCGTCGTCATCGCTGCTGGCGTTGCCAAAAATGTAAGAAGCGCACACACACACACGGGCGGCCGCCAAGGATATTGGCTTGGTATTGGTGTAGCGATGGTGACGACGGCGGCGCTTAAGCTCTCTGAAAACCGAAAAACCGAAAAACCGAAAAACTGAAACTGAACTGAAAAGCGAAAAGGAAGAAGGAAGCGGCAAAGGAAGTGAACGAGCACACACACGCACGCATACACACAAGAGCAGCTCTGCTCTGTATTCCTGGACTCTGCTGCTGCTTTTTTTGTTGTTTTTTCTTAGAAAAAGACGTGAAAAAAGCAACGCAAAAAGCAGCCGAAAAATTTAAAAACGAAATGCGAGCAAATAGCAGGGTATGGGGAGGAGGGGATGAAGGTGAGAAGGGGGGAACAACAACAGTGGGAGGGCGGGGGGAGGTAGACACTTAAGCTGCTTTTGCAGTTTCCCACTGAAATCGTAGTTCTGGGAGGGCGCGAGAGGGCCACAAGGTTGTTCCTTTTCTGCTTGCTCCCTTTAGTTCTTAGTCCTTAGACCAGCGATGTCCTTGAGCCGAAAGTTCAAGTCCAAGCGCGGAGAAAGTGGCCCCGGGAATGCCCCAATTTCTAAATAGAAAAGCCATCGGGGAGCACCTTTCTGTGCTTTTTTTGAGGGGAGTTAGTTCTTAAGGACTTTCGGGCTTTTCTTTAAATATGTTATGTATTTCCTATAATAGTAGAAATCCTGAGACTATAGAGATCTTTAAATTATAGGAAGATCTTGAAACTTTAAACATTATAATAAATATACCGATTCCAGAACTATAAAGATCATTGAAATATAATGTTGTTTTAAAAAAAGCCTTATCAAAAACTTCTCACAATCAAATAAAGTTAAAACAATTAATTTAGTATGTTTGGATATATCCTTTATATTCTATTCTTGATCAGTATCAAACGCAGAGTCGATCTAGCCATATATGACAAAAAAGAAATACATTTTACCATTTTTTTTTAAATTATAAAAGGGGTTACATCGTTAAAAATGCCAAAAAATTTGCTACAATTTGTATTTTTAATTGAGTATGCAATTAACCTACTAAAAATAAGCATGGGAAAGCTTTCCGAATTTAAATTAATGCTTTTTTGACTGAGTTATGGGATTTTAAATGTTTGAATTAAACAAAAAAAAATTGGTCACATAAAAATATCTATTTAAATGAAATTTATTTAATTTAATTTTAAATGTATGCAAGTATTTCAAGATTAGTTATTATTGATTTCTGATTCGATCCTATACTACAATTGAAAACTTCAAGAGTATGTAATCTTCAGCTTTCTAAAGTTCAGTTAAATGTTAGGATAAATATTTTATTACCTTTTCACCTAATAAATTTATAATTATTCACTATATTTAAAGTAACTAGGATTCTAGTTATTATTCTTTAAAAATCTATAAGTACTTCCTATAGCAGATTCATGTCTGTTCATCTAAAGGGATTTCCTCAAGTTGCCAGAACTAATTACTCAAGTTAAGCTAGTAACTATCAAGTTTTAAAGGCTTCTCAGAATATATATTAAGTCCATTATCCTGTTTTTTTAACTTCACCTAATAGAGTATATTCCACAAGTTGGGTGACTTGTACGAAGATATCATCACACTTAAAGTGTTGAAGGCGCTTTAAAAATCAAAATTAAAGTTGCACCCTAAGATTGCATTATTATTTGTTGTTGTTGTTGTAGCTGTTCCTGTTTCCTTGTTGCATTCACAATAAAGGAGCAAGCCGGAGCTCACTTGTTGCATGCACAGGACTGCACTCTGACCCTTCGAGTAGTACCCGGTCTTGCACGCGTCGCAATCAAAACAAAAATCAGGATGCGCGAGGGTAAGAACAGGGGTAGGGAAATGGTTACTCAAAGGTAAGAAGGTAGAAAGGACGATAAACGAAGGATAACTGCAGCAGCAGCAGCAGCAGCAGCAGGAGCAAATTGCAGTTGTTGAAGGTGACATTAATTGACATTTAATAGGCCTCATCTCTCACCCAAGGGTGGCACTGCTACATGATTTAAATTAGTTCCACCCTTGCTCCTTGTTGCTCCTGCTCCTGCTCCTGCTGCTGCTGCTGCTGCTCCTTTTTTGCCTCGCCTGCGACAAGCCAATTAGAGGTGGCGAAGCCTGAAAAGCTTTTTTTTTGTCCTCGCAATCATTTCAAGCAATTTGCAACAAGCAACAAAAGTGCATCGCGTTGCTACCGTAAAAGGACTCTCAAGGGATGATGAAACCAGTGGCACTCCTGTCGAAGGGGTGGCGACTCCTGCGGCTGCAACATCATCCCACCAGAGGTTAACCCTGTACGTTACAGTGGGCGTGGGCTTGACCCGACCCTCCACCCTGCGTAACAAAAAAATACCAAGCGCCTGTTGCAGTTTTTGCCGGCTTCCTGCTTTCCCCATGTCCTGCTTCCTTTTTGACTGAAGGAAAATGGCGCGCGCGCAGCAAAGTGCAGCAACCCCTTGCCAGTGTGTGTGTGGTGCAGCCCAATGCCACCCACTCGGGATCGCGAATGAAAAAGCCGAGAGCTAGGTGTGTGTGTCATGTGCCATATATATACATATATACAGATCTATATATATATATAGAGAGGTATCCTTTTTGGTGGGCGGCGGTGGTGGTGGTTGATTGCAATGTGCCGACGACTGCAATGGCGAACGCATTCGCACTCGCACTCGCACTCGAATGTGATTGACTTGCACATACACATGGGGGAGCAAGGATACCCAGCAAGGACTTGCTTTGTGGGAGGTACTTATTTTAAGCCGCTTACATATGGCAAGTAAATCTATCAAAGGGAACATATGCTTGATTTTGTACAGGAGACTTTTAGGCCAAAGAATTTACCCCTTTTTACTTTTGCTTTCTTTTTCAATGAGCTGATTTTTCCTGTAAGGGAATTCCCTAGGAATATAGAGAGGAGAATATAGGGAGAATATAGAGAGGTCTCAACCTCTGTGAAAATAAATTACAGTAAGGCAGTTACAACGAAGGATAGTTGAGGTTACAGTTTTCCCAGCTGGCTTGGACTTTTCCACAAATGAAAATGAGTAATTAAGCAAGTTAAATTGATTTCGCAAGGTAGATGAAAATCACCTGATGGAAAGTGTGACCGGAATAATCAAATGAGGCCGGTTTAGCTAAGGTTCTCTTGAATTTAATTACAGAAAAGCGGAAAGCTAATAGAAGAAAGTAGAAAGTAGAGAGCAGAGAGCACAACGCACAACTTTACATTATCCTCTACGGCACATACACTCATACACACACACTATCCACCGAACAGGACATTAAACAATTGAACAATACGCGAAATGCCAGTCTTGAGCAGGACACGTTTGCCTACAGGACACCTCTGGAAGGACTAGATAAACGCGAGACGCAGCAACGGGTATGTCTTGAGAGGGTCTTGAGGAGGTTAAGGCATCATATCATCCATCCTTCAGGCATCCAGCCAGGCAAGCAGCCAACCAGCTGCGAAAGCTGCTCTGCCGCCTGCCTACCTAAGCTTTCTTAGAGCGCCAGGCTCAAGGACAACTCGCGTCAAAAGGAGCGCTGCTGTTATATAAATATATATATATATATATATATACATAGAAGCGGTACAGTTGCCTTCAGGCGATTTCGCTGAGGATCGAACGGAAGGGTATCGCGGATATATGCAAACCTCCCCAAATGTGAAACGGAAGTGGAGAGGAAGATCCCACCAAATGAAAGATTCTATTAGGGCTTTTAATACTTTATAAAAAAAAAACAAATATATATATATATATGAAATCTACGAGAGGTGGGAAGTTCCAGGCTTTAAGAAGTGACTATAAGGATCTAAGCCAAAAAGTCCTTTTTAGTTTAAGAAATGTTAATTAATGGTTAATATCACATAGATACTTGATCTAAAATGATAATAAATAATGGGTATCTCGTAGATACTAGATCTAAAATGATAATAAATAATAGGTATCTCATAGATATTTGATCTAAAATGATAATAAATAATGGGTATCTCATAGATACTTGATCTAAAATAATAATAGACAATGAGTATCTCATAGATACTTGATCTAAAAAACCTACCTAGAACCTCCCCAAAGACTAAGGAATGTTTCCCTGCCTCTGTGTACTTCTAATTCTGGTTCCTGCTTTCTTTCCCCCCAGAATTCCACACCCCCTTACTATATATATATATATATATGTGTATATATTTCAACTTTCCCTTTCAGCCAACGGCTGTTGAACTTTAAAAATTGATCCGATTTTCTGCTTTCTTTTCGCATCTTCCATGCAATTCGCCTCACTTGAGGGAAGTGCATTACATTTAGAAGCAGACGCCGCGCATTTAGAATGAGGAAGAGTGGAGCACACACCACAGCTCAGGGCAATATATAAAATATATACGAAAAAAAATAGGAAAAAAGTGGCTCCTCCATTCATGCCACGCGCATCTTGCGCCGTCGAGACAATTCAAAATAGACGCCAAGCACGCAATCTCCTTCGTTCCACAGAGGAGCCTCCCCAAAAAGGTAGATTGCCTTTGCTTCCACTAACTCCGTACTCCATTATCCGCGTGGCGGAGTGCCCACTGTCTCCCCATTCAATGTTGCAACGCATCGGACGCCCCACTGTGCTGGGGAGTTGGAGCAGAAGGAGATGGAGCACATTCCTCCATCTGTGGAATTATGAATGAAAGATAGACACGAGAGACGGAACCCTGAAGGGTGGAGTGGTGGCCAATTATTGGGGGTATTAGCCACTAGGCAAATTATAGGTTCTTCATAGATCCACTTAACAGGATATTTTAGAATTGAGCATTCGCTTTGGATTAGGATCTATGATTAATGAGATGAAGTTCAGTTAGCTATCATCTGGGTTTTATGTGTCTACTTGGAAGGCCGTGCAAGTGATTAACAGATAGGATAAGATAATATGGAAAAGATTATATAATTCATAAATGTAGATACTCTTTAGATGATCAAGGGGTAGCTATGATCTATGTTATATGCTTGGGATATACATTTTGGTATAGTAAATCATATATGCGACAGTTTAAGTAATCTTCTCTGACTACTTGAATGGATAAATAAACGATTACCCGATAGTTAAATGTGCAAACATTTTAACTATCCTAAGTACTCCGCCTGCCAGGACACACATTTTGGTCACTGCCTGTGCACCTGTATACAGGATGTACTTACAGGCTTAGTTGGATCCAACTGGGTTCCTCATGGATTGACTGACCTTATAGGAATTCTGCCTCAAAGAAAAGGATGCTTTAAGGTTCGTTTCCGGTTCCGGTTATCTGTTTCAGATATTCTCCCGATTTAACTGCTGTATTTTCTTCTCCAGCTTGACTTGGATACCTGTAGGATTTTGAGATAGGATTTGAACTTGTTCTTCCTAACTATATAGTTGCTCCTGGATCTGTTCCAAGTTGTGAGTTCAAGTCTTTGAAGGATATCTTAACGCGGACAGGACTGGTGCTCGGTGCCTTTCTGCTGACTAATTTGAATGCCGAAAATGAAGTCTTTTAATTATTCTAGATTGGATTTTCCTGATTTCCTCGGATCTGTATTAATTTTTGGGTATTGTGATGTATGGTTGATCGCTTCTCTTTACCCCTCCGATTTCTGACTTGCTTGATGGGTTTGCTGGCTTTGTGTGAGTGTATATTTCGGATTTTGTTTAAATTTTTGGGTTTTTTTTGTTTGGTGAAAGAAAATTGAAACCGAGTTTTGTGGGAAAGAGAAAATTTGTAGGGTCCTTTTTGACAGGAGTGCCAATGTTGTCTTGTTTCGAAATAGAAGGCAGGGGGAGATTTTTCACTATTTTCCAAATTCAAATAGTTGTATTTCAATATAAATGTTTCAAAATAAATAGACATATTTATCGGGAAAACCCTTACTAGAGTTAATATACATATAAATCAATCCCTGATTAAATCAATTTTTTAAGTACTGATTACATAAGGGGGAAGACTAAGTAAGTAATTATGCAATATAATTGCTTTCCCTCTAAAATAGAGCCAATCAAATTTCGCTTTAAATTCAGAACTTTGAAATGGAATTTTTCCCTAGAGGATAATGGCAGGAAATGTTAGGTGGTCATCTCCTTTTCGATTCACTTCGATTTTGCTTTGCTTTTATTTTATTTGCTTTGGCTTATTGATTTTTGCGTAGGTGACAGCCCTGGCAGGGGCACGGGGGGCTGTGTATGTGGGTGCGTGGGTGTAAGCGAGATAGCAGCAGCTGCGTGAGTGCGTACAAAGTAGGCTGGAAAAAATGGTCTCTCTCTTCCCACTGTCCTCTGCCGCCGCCGCCGCCGCCTCTCTCACTCTCATTCTCTCGCCAACAGTCCCGCTCTCAACGCCCGCTCCCAATCTCCCACTCTCCCACCTCACACTCTCTCGCGCTGGTCGCATCACCCCAGTCGTCTTTTCCCCACAGTCACTTACGCTTTGGTATATAATTAAACCGCTTGGACTCCTTGTTTAATTCGTCAGATTTCGGCTGCGTCGCTTGCACTTTTCTTCTTTTAGGAACTCCGCACTTTTCACTTGTTTTGCTTTTGCTTTTGGTGGCCTTTTGTCACTTTTCGGGCATGGAAGAAACAACAACAAAAAAAACGCAAATGGCGGCGACCGAAATCGAATTCTCGAAAAAACTGTGCTGCGCTGGTTGTAGCTAAAGAGCTGCTGCCATTTAACGGTTAACTGCGCGAGCTGTGAGCGAACGAACTGTAAAACGGTAAACGGTACTGGTGAGCTGTGAGCTGAGCTGAGTGTGTCGAACGAACTGACGCAACGGCGACGAGTGAACTGCCGGATCCGGATCCCAAGGTGTCTGCGTCCCGATGAAAATGCGAGGAAAACTCGGTAACGCGCCACACGACAGCGACGCCGGCAGCGACGCATCGCGACGTTAACATCGGCTGAGGCTGCGCCAGCGGCCGGCTGAGGCATCGGCAACGGCATCGACAACGACAACGACATCGGCGTCGGCGTCGGCGTCGGCGTCACATTTTCCTTACCATCCAGCTAACAAACAGTGAAAGTTGTAAACCAAAATGGCTGACCCTGCTCCTGTGTGTACGTGCGTGTGTGTGTGGTGTGCGTGAGCGCGGTGCGGCGTCTATCCGCCTGTTTATCCGATTCGTAGAGCAGCCAGCCGCCGGCTTACAGTACACTGAGTGAAAATAATCAACGCCCGTTATCCGTAATCGGGACACGGATTCAGTGTTTTTTTTTTTAATTTTTTTTAAGTGGATTTCATTGTTCTTGCTATTTATTATAGATCATAAACAAAACCATGTTTTGTTTGAGAAATTTATAATAAAACATGAGAGCCTGCATTGTGTAAAGGTGCAGAAGTTTTCTGGCGATCACTGTGCCAGCTGTTGGATCTGTAATAGTGCAGTGTTGTTTTTTGTTTTTTTTTTTGTGTGTGTTTTACGTTGGACCTAGAAGGTTTCCCGACAGAGAAATGGAAAACTAACGAAAAGGCCACGGATAAACGAATATTTTCCATCTGATTGGCTTGGACGTTGGCAGCGACGCTGCTGCGCTGGATCTGACGCTGGCAGCGACGTAAACGGCAAGGGTGAGTGTGAAAAGCGAAAATTCATTGTCATCAAGCGAGTGCGGCGCGTCGGAAAAGTCGTGGAAAATGCTAAAAACAAGGGTGAACCCAAGACTGTGCCTCTCTTTCTCTCTCTCTCTACTTATTGCTAGCTCCCTGCTCTCTGGTTCTCCTCCATTCCCCGCTCCTTCTTGTGAAAATGTGAGGAAAATTCAGACAGCCACAGCTGCTTCACAAAAAAAGCAAGTCTCTGGGAAAAACAAAGGGCATATGGAAACAGGGAGAAATGAGAGAAACGGGAGAAAGGGACAAGGAATAGGGAAAATTGGGAGAAAGAGAAAGTGGATATGGGAATTGTGGATCCTATTCCACCTACGATTGCCACTTGAGGCCAGAGAGTTGTTTGCAACCCAAAAATAAACATCGCAAGGGCACTAATTTCATTTAAAAATACCAATCTCATTGGCATTTGATTGTTTAGGGAAGGAAAAATCAGGGAAATTTTCTCGATTTACAGAGTTGGGTAGAGTTATCTTTTTAAGCTGTACCATTTTTTTTTTATTTAATTTACTTTAACTAAAAACTGCTCTTCTTGCTTGTTTTTGTCGTATGGTATAGTACTTATTTGTCATCCTTACTTTTCCAACCAATTGTCCCATAATTTCCCTCTATAATTTCCTTTTTGGAAACCCATGATGTCAAGAAACTTTCCAACTGGAAGAACGCGGGGTGTCCATTAGTGATAATTCTGCACCGTTTCCTTAGACTTCTCCTTTTTTCTCTCTTCTTCTGATCCTACCATTCTTACTTTCCTGTCACTCTCTCTCGTTGCTTGCCACTCTCCTTTACTACTACTCCGCCTCCTCCGCTATTCCTCTTTGTGGCCGCTTCCTCGTTTAGTTATGTTAAATCCGATGCGCACCCCGCAGCAGCAGGAGCAGGAGCAGGAGCAGCAGAAGCAGAATCAGGAACAACAAAGTATTTCCGACTGTTACCAACCCAAGAAACTCAGCCCATACACACATACACACACGCACAAACATGCAGGATTCGTCCCGTTTCCGAATTTCTGAGACAAGCAAAACTTGCGTAGTTTTTCAACCCCAAAATTCGGGACAAGGACAAGGTCGAGGATGTGGCTCTACGCCACTGAACATCAGCGAGAGGGGTGTGCTTTAAATAGTGAGGGGGAGTTCACATATCCTTCAGCCACCTTTCACCATTATCATAGCCAAAAAGTCACATTGAAGATTAGTCCTTGGGGCTTTAAGTTCGAAAATACAACACCCCCCTATGTGATCATGAAATTCTTTTTTTGTAAATAGGAGTAAGTTGGACAATTTTATTGACGAAGCAGTAGAATTATCCTTCGGAACATGATCATAGTTTACCCTTTCATTAAATTTAAAATTAAAGTCGGGTTCAGAAAATTTGGTTTGCTGAAGGCTTGACACTGCAGTGCTTAGCAGGACATTCTAGTGCATCCTGAAAAATGACAAGGGGTGCGTAAGCCTATTTCCTATACGGATAGTTTATCTATTAATGATCTTTTTTACATATTATATATGATACTAAAAAGTTCAAAAGAACCCTAGTTATATATAATCAAATTAAATACTAACTATACATAGTTCATTAGCTTTCTCTTATACGAGCCAAAGCGAACTTGGGGGCTAAACTAGATTTACAGTTTGAAATAAGGGGGTTTCAAACCCCTAAAATTCCTCTCGATTTGGGATAAGCCACCACCTCTGAGTCTAGGACTGTGGTTGAGGTGCGTTCCTGCGTATGCCAGGAATGTTTTCAGCCGGCTGGCTTCAGCTCCGGCTGCGTGTGCTTCGGGCTCTTCTGCTCCTGGCTCTAGCTCTATCCTAGCTCTGTTGTCCTGCCTCCCCTGCACCGCACAAAGGACGAGGGTTCGTTGAGGAGGCTAAGGAAAAGCCACCACCCACCCCAAAGGCAACTGCGACGCACTTTTGTGTGTGCGTGTGTCCTGGGACTGCTCGTTGCCATGCTACGATTTCCATTTCGATTCGGGATAAATGGGATCGGATGGTATGGTATGGGGATAAGGGATGTGGGTTTGCTCTCGAACGGGATGCTAAAAAACGGGATGGCCTCAAATGTTAAGGTACAATGGAATGGTATGGTATGGTATGGTATGGTATGATATGGTAGGAAGTTAGATGCTATAGTGCGGGATAATGGGGATGCCCTGGGAATGGGACATCAATGGGAATGTTTGAGGGGGTTGGGAAACGCACAGTGAGCGTTCCATTCCGCTGCGTCCCAACGTTAGCTCTGCTTTTTTGGGGGTGTCCTGTCCCGTTGTAACGCTTGGCTCGTGCCATCTCTGTTGCACCTCGAGGATCAAAAGCAGCGCGGCTGTGAATGATAAACGTTCCGTTGCGTTCCCCCTTTTTTTTGGATTCGTATTTTATTTATTTTTTTTATTATTATTATTTCATTAGATTGCAACCCTCAGTGTTGTGTGTGTCCTTGTTTCCCTTCCCGCCCTGGGCAGTAATCGCCTTGTCCCGTGGCGGAACAAGGACAAATGATGGCTGGAGTGGCGACAGAAAGAGATAGAGAGGGAGTGTCCTTTCAAATCTTGACGGGATTTATGTTGTTTGTTGCGTATCCCCGTGGCCTGTGTCCTGCGACCATTGCGGAATTCATTCGCGTTGACGTCACCGCTAGTGCAAAGGAGTTAAGCGGCGGGTCCTTTGCTGCCGATAGATGCCACCCACTAATCCTTTTTGCGTTTTAATCCCCACTTTATGCTTTTTCCCTCATTAAGCCTTTGCTCTACTCTATAGCAGTGTGCATGGGATGCCTGCGAAAGCAACTTGGTATTATCCTTTGTTTTTTATTTTTATTATAGAAGGGAAATCATTTATTTATTTTATGTTTCTTGATATTTATATCAATTAATAAACATCTAAATGTTTTTGTCATTGAGAAGACATCAATGATTTTAATTCTTTATATCCATATTTTGAGAACTTTATTTAAATTTCAAAAATGCATAACTAAGTCAAAAATTATTTCATTTTAATTCGGAAAGCTGTTTTGTGATGGGTTTTATAAGGCTAATAAATCTGCATACAGGATATAACACTTAACAAAATTCCAATTGTTATCAAATTTTGACAATTTTAACGATGTAACCCCTTATAAAATTTTGAAAAAAATCGTAAAAAATTTTTTTTTCTC